CAGGTGGGCCCCCCAACCCCGCGGCCACTCTCCAACAGCTACAGCTTAGTGGCTTGGCAGGACTTTGTGGCAGAGACACTCCTGGGCCAGAGGCGGAGAACACGGGGATGCAACTCACCTCCTCCAGGCTCTGGCGCACGTCGTCCAGGAGCTGCGAGCTATCCAGATCCTGCCCCTCGTCCTGGGCCTGCTGCATGTCGTGCCGCCACTGCAGCTTTGCAGCTTTCAGCACCGCGTGCCTTTTCCTCAGGGAGCGAGTCTGCTGCACCAGGAACTCCTTGGCGCTCCGTATGGAGACGCCCTCCGCAGAGATGTAGTGTCTGACGCTGCAGGATGGAACGGAGGGAGAAAGCTTTTAAACGCCGCTACCCTGGGCCCACGGCGGCGCTGCCGGGGGATTTCGGAGGGCGGCTTTCTGCTTCGCTCGAATAAACCGGGCAAGTACGCTGCGGCCCTCAGAGCTCAGAACCGTGTCTGAGGTGCAGTCATGAGGCACGCCAAGCCCTTCCCGTGGCTGCATCAGCCATGCAGACCAGCCACAATCCCCCATTCACTGGCTCCGCCGCTGACGGCTGCGCTAACCCAAGTGCTCGGGCGCATCGAGCCGTGATGCTCTGTGGCAGAGGAGAGGCCTGCACTGGGCCTTGTCCTCTTGGGCTGTGCAGACCACCCTGCAAGCCTCGGGCAAGCCCGTCCCCTTAGCAAGGCGCTTACTTATCCAGTCGGAGGTCACTGTCCCCGTTGCTGTGCGAGGGTAAGGAAGCAGGCTCTCTGGAGGCGCGCTGGAGGGGTCAGACATTTCAAAAATCAATTCCTGCGAGATCAAAGGAGAAACCTCCCACGCCCAGTAGAGCGCGAGCGCAGAGCACGAACGAGAGCGGCGCGGACAGCGCCCAGGAGAGCGCGAGCACAGAGCACGAACGAGAGCGGCGCGGACAGCGCCCAGGAGAGCGCGAGCACAGAGCACGAACGAGAGCGGCACGGACAGCGCCCAGGAGAGCGCGAGCACAGAGCACGAACGAGAGCGGCACGGACAGCGCCCAGGAGAGCGCGAGCACAGAGCACGAACGAGAGCGGCACGGACAGCGCCCAGGAGAGCGCGAGCACAGAGCACGAACGAGAGCGGCACGGACAGCGCCCAGGAGAGCGCGAGCACAGAGCACGAACGAGAGCGGCACGGACAGCGCCCAGGAGAGCGCGAGCACAGAGCACGAACGAGAGCGGCGCGGACAGCGCCCAGGAGAGCGCGCCGCAAAGGAGCCTCTCTCTGTGGACACTGTACAGAACAAAACTCTCCTTCCGCTCCCAGAAGCTGCTTTCTCCCCCAGTGCCCCGGCCCAGGTTCCACAAGAGCATGCCGACGTCCAACGGAGGTAACGCCCACAGAGGAGCACTCAGGGTCTGGATCTGTTCCTGTGGGCGCTAGGGGAGCACACGGGACCCCGGGGCTCTGGAAAGGGGGGTTCCACACAACACGTGGCGGCTTGGGAGCGACTCAGCAAAGCCCTTGTCCACGTCAAAACGAGAACCAGCCAATGCAGTCGCAGGTATCTCCCCGCCCGCCAGTTACTGAGCAGGGACGGGCGTCCTCTGCCTGCTTCAGCACAGGCAGCTCTGAGAATCGGGGAGCCGCCAGCATGAGCGAGTGCTCGGCGTGAGCACCCTGCCGCAGAGCAGAGTGCAGGGGAGCCGAGGGCCAGCAGCACTCGCCTTGGGCGACCTGTGGGAGAGGCTCTGTGAGGACTCTGCCCGGGTATAGAGACGGGATGACGAAAGCACCAGAGATGTGAACGTACGGGCTGGCTGTGGCTTCTCCCACAAGGTGCTGTACGAACCCCATTTCCAGGCCAGTGCAGGGAGCTGCCTGCCGGGAGGGAGCAGCACTGGGGCAGGGCCAGGCTGCTGGCTGCCTGTCCCGTGTCTCGGTCACTAACTTGGCTTCTGTGAAGTCTGTAAAACACCTGCCCCGATAGCCACCCATCTCGGCATGAGAGAGCCAGAGCCGGCAGCACAGAGCCACGGCGGGATTGCCCAAGGGGCCTCGGGGAACTATGTGCCCGGTCCCACTGGCTTGGGACCCTCTAAACAACACCGCCACACGCCACTCGCCCAGGGAGCTACACTCACCGCCTCCGGCGTCTCCCTCAGGTCCTCGACGTGGAGCTCAGCTTCCCTTCTGGGAGACGCCACGCTGTCTTCGGCTGCCAGCTCCTTCAGGGCCTCCTGCTTGCTCTGCACGGCAGCCTCCAGCTCGCTGCCACAGCGTGTGGGGAGGGAAGGGGGGAGACATGACAGGACATCCAGAGCAGACTGGGACACTCAGCCACGCGGCTCACAAGAGCCCACACCGCCCTGCAGGAATCAGCTCTCCTGCGAGTCCTCAGCTGGCTCCTGCCCCCCCCCCCCCCGAGGGAAAGCACCAGGGACTACGTGCTCTGGCAGACCCAGGCACTAGCAAGGGGGCCTGGGTGTACTGCTGCTGTTTGAACACAACGTCCCAGCGCTACAGGCGGAGACGTCCCCGAGCGCCTGCCCAGCACAGTAAATACCAGGGCTACGCTACTGTTCCAAGGTAACCAAGTCCCCTGAGGGCTTGGGACAGTGCGGGGTGATGCCTCGGACGCCCGCCCAGGGGCATCAGTTGTCTCAGAAAGGTCTCTGGAGTCCAGCCCAGGCTCTCAAAGCATCTCCAAACGTTTCCTCCGCCTCGTGACACTGCCCCTCAGAGCTCAGAGGCACCACCATGTAGGGTCAGTGGAGCCGGGCCGGGCCGGGCGGGCGTGGAAATACGAGCGTCAGTCCCTCAGACACACACCTGATCCGTTTCTGCAGCCTCTGGCTTCGGGTCTGCAACAGATCCACCTGGGACTCCAGCTCAGCTTTCTGGTCCTGCAGCTCCTCCAGTGCCCTGCGCAGCTGGCGGATGGATTCCACAAGGGCAGCATGCTCCTTCCTAGACTCCTCCAGGCGGAGCTGGGCCCCCAGAGCCGCTTCCTGGAAGTGAAATCACAACCCTCTACGTCCCCGGCTCTGTAGTACGAGCACGCAGGAGACGAGAGCGCGGCCCGCAGGGCTTGCAGGGCAACAGGCGGCAACTCAGCACAACATCGGCCTCCAGCCTGCGGCTCTGCAGGGCATTTGTCCCTGGTCCCGCCCCTGAACCTCTGGATCGGAACAGCCACGAGCTTGGTGAGCAATGAGCGTGGTGCCCGGGCTGGGAACGGGCAGCGCGAGGGATCACGCGAGGACCCCGTGCCGTTCCCTCCCGCTGGCAGACCGGACGCTGGGCTGGAGGGACCTTTGCTCTGACCCCGTCTGGCCGCTCGGACGTTCTACATTGTGCCTTGTACACACCCCAGCGAGATGCCGTTGCCATGGGGATGCAGGGTTCAGAGGAAGACACCTCCCTGCC